TTAAGAGTTTTTTAAATATCAAATTTTTATATTGAAACTCAATTCAAAAGACGATTAATATTCGAAAATATAAAATTTTTAATACGAAATATTTGATTTTCAATCAAATTCAATCGATAATCAAACATTATTTATTTTATTAATTATTAAATTGTTAATAAAAAGATTCTATACTTGGTTAGACTTTTAAAGATCTCGATTACGCCGATCTATGCATCTAGTTTTGAATATTATAGCAATATTTGTTGCTAAGTTATTTCAATATAAGTTGAAATAATTGAAATGGGACACTTGCTTGACCTGGGACACTTGCTTGTCCTGACTGTGACCGAGAGCCCGCAGGTCACAAAGTCAGTGCACTGACTATTACTTTTAAGAGAGAAGGAAAATTCTTGTATCTTTGAGTCAAGGAAGCTGCTTCAGCTCGCCACAAAATTTATCAGGAATTTGGATGATGGATGGATGGTATTTTAAATTTCTTTTGTGGGGGGGGGAGAAGGTATCAAGCTATATCTCATCCTGACTTTGGCGCGATCAAACGTCGTTCTCAAGTTCAGTATAAAGTGGTTGCTTGCTGCGTAGCTGCCTCTGGGATTGTCAGTATATCAAAGCAAGCGCGAATATCTGTGCGACATTATTGGGTTCTTTCTGCACTTGTTTTGGTTTGCTGGTGCCGATAGCGATGATTTGGCGCCTCCTCTGTACTCTGCGTCGTGTCTGCTAGAGAGAACATATAGCTTTTTTCGATTGGTCAAATAACCCAGCCCATGGCTTCGCAAGATCAAATGTTGGGATCTTTGGTTTCCATCATTTCTCTCTTCGCTAAATTCCTACCCCTTACCCCACCATCCACGTGACCCTCGCCCCTCTTTCGCCAAAATCCCATCCTCACATCCTCCTTGTCAACATCTCACTCACCACCTACCAGCACTCATCACCAGTTCCCGCTCTCCTCCAATCCCTAAATAAAACAATACATAAAAAAGAGGCTCAAAATGACAGCTCCTACAGACTACGCATCGCTTCCCACACCCCCAGCCTGTGTGGCGGATTTCTGCTTGATTCCCGTACGTCCTGATGGAACACAGCTCTATTCCCCAACCGAGCGAGGCCCATGCGACTGGCACGATTTCGATTGGGATATACAGCATAGGTAGCATGATACTAAGACGTAAAATACAGATTGGCACCCCTACAGCCTCCGTCTCCAAAGAAGTCGCCGCCGTGCAGCGTCTCATGAAAGCCAGCGGTCTGAGCTACTCCATGCACTCGGCCGGGACGACGGTTGGTACGCTTGCAACCCCATCACACCTCCCTTTTCTTCACTCCTTTCCCATCTCTCTCCCTCCCAGGTATCATCATCCTATCACCTCTTTCATCTATCATCCAAGTAGATAGATGCATTATACCTTTAGGCTCGTGGCTCCCAATTCTGTTTCTTCCTAACGCCCCCCCTCCCATACTTACAACCCACCAAACGATATCAAAACACAAGGCAACACAGGATAAACACTATCTAACACCTCCAACAGAAGGTTCTTGGGACGCCGTGATGCGCGTGATAGGACAAGCCCACACACTGGTGCATCAGAACGGCGTGCTGAGAGTACAGACCGATATCCGCGCTGGAACAAGGTAACATCACCCCCCCCCCCCCTCCCTCCTTCTTTCTT